GTGGACCTCTGTAGATATGTCCAACTCTCGAGCAAGGCGCATCCACAAGCTCTCCACCACACATCCAAATCTTGAAACTCAGTTCGTATTGTTCGCCTCCCCAAATATCAAGACCCTCATCGTAGCCACCCAACTCCCAGAAAAAATCACTTGATATAGCAAATAATCCACCTGCCATAACTGGACTCTTAAATGGTTTAGTTCTGTCTTCCAAATCTTCCGGCAATAACGGTAAGCGTTTGTAATAAAACTCCCAATCAAATGCGCCACGAGCGCCTTCGTCTTGTGCTCTATACTCAAAATTACTGTGATCGATAACGTCGATAAACGGGCAAACCGAAACTCGTTTATTTATTGCTATTGGCTCCAATAGCGGTGGCAGCCAATTGTAGTTAGCTTCAATATGTGAATCCAAAAATATCAGTACTTCGGCTGTGGCTCGGCGCGCACCAGCCATTCTTGCACCAATCAGTCCAGTACGTTCTTTCAAACGCACTATTTGTACTTTAGGAAAGTTTTCAGCTACATATTGCTCAAGTTGTTGGAATAAGTACTCGCGATCACTAAAATCGTCTACCAAAATTATTTCCTTTATCAATTCCGGAGGCGAACGATTTATCAGGCTGTGAACGGAACGCATAAGCACGCCCAAATGCTCATTGTAGAATGGAATTATGATGCTGACTGAAGGCAACTTCGGCAAATATTTCTTTTTTTTGCATCTGTGTACAAGACAAAATAAAAATTTTGCGTTATCAAGCATTAATAAAATTCACAATAAACTAGTTTCAATGATCAAATCAAACTTACCCTTTATAGCGAATATCGGGAAGGGAACGATTTACCGAAATCGAATCGGAAAGTAGAGCATTAAATCCATTTTCCAGAGACATTTTCTGTTCTAATTCTTTCTGCGATTCATCACTTAGTTCAGCACGCTTGCCTTGTTCGCCCAGTCCCACTCGCTTCTGATCAAACTCCATAGCCAAGTAATCATGCCAGTCTTTTTTCAGATCAACTGGTAACTGCAGCTGTCTATCCTCAGATTTCCGCTCGTTTTGTAATATTGGCAGCATTGGAGCTTCAGCATTGCTCTCTACAACCCCGTCCACATGATTATCCGACATTTTTTTATGCGCTCGTAAATTCGCTGCATGCATTGGCGTCAAAATTGGTAACTTATTGCGATAAGGGCTGGAAGATATCCAGCTTGTAAGCAAAAGAAACAGAATCAGCGACAAGGTCAACAGAATTGCTGCTTTCAAAACCCATTTCATATTTCTTCGACGCATCTTGGTGTAAATGCACACGTCGCGAAATCTCGTGGAATGTTAGAACTTCTGATCTACACGCCAACGCGGCGAAATAACGACTCGAACTTCAACTATAAATAATATTAAAAAAAATAAACTTTTAAGATAGTACACAAAATATGTTGGCGTACATACATTGTCAAATCATATGTACTACAGTGCACATACATACATATGTATGTATCTAAAATGTGATAACAACGTGACTATCCCAGTAGAAACCTTAAGCATACAACATCGCATCGCTGTTGGTGGCATGAGCTTGCTGCTGTGTAGATATACATGCCAGTATAAATCAACCTTCATTTCCATTTAACAGGCGTGGTTTCTCAGAGCGTATGCGTACCTTAATCATACACTTGTACTACTGCTGTATGCATATGACTGAATTAATGTTTCAAACATTCAAAAATGCATTAATGGAACAGTATTAAAGCATTCTTACAAGATCCTTATATGTAAATGCTACTTTTCTGATACATTTTAATATACGGGGACATACAAGCAAGTAGCACTTACATAAAACAACGACAACGTACATTCGCTTGCAATTCGCTAGAATTTGAATTTATTCGTGGAAATTCATAACTACGCATGAATTGTTCACACTAACACCCGATTTACATGATTCAACTACTTGAAAGCAATTTTTGCTCATTCTCTTTTGTGTTTTCTATTTGCTTTTACACGTTTCAATTCTGTTGAATACAAGTTTTTGGTTCTTTAAACGGGAAGCAACGAAAATGCCAAAAGCAAAGCAAGAAAGTTGAAACGACTTGACGGTACAGCCCCATGTGTACTGGTCCCTTTTCTTCTCACCCCCTCTCTTCCACATGCGAGCAGAATTGAATTCAATACTTGAACTGTGTAAAAGCAGTCTAATTCACACATATAGCAAGCATCCTTTAAGAATGCATACAACCGATTTCTACTGGGATGATACTGTCTGATTACCCTGTAGGAAAAACAGCCAGTTGCGAAGAAGTGATCTTCCTATATATTAAAATGCGAAGGCGTTTATTCAAAAATATGCAAATCTGTGTGGGTTCAGCTGTTTCCTGCTAGGCTTTGCTCTTTTTATTTGGATTTAGCCAGGAAATTTTCTGCTTAGCTTTAGCTTTTAACTTAGCTTTTTCTTAACATTGTTTAGCTTTTTAATTTTTGTCATCAAATAATGCACACGACTGGATCCTTGATAACCAGTGTTGCCAGAACTTTTTGGACCAACCGGCTAAATTAGCAAAAAATAACGGCTAAAAAAGGGCTAAACTCTTTCAACTAAATTTCACATGTTTTATTTAAATAAATCACATGTAGAAAGACTAGTTCTTGGGGAAAAAATTTTACAATTAGGAAAAACATATGATTGTGGCACATGGTTGGATTTTTTGTCGACGATAATTTGATTAAACAAGTTTGTTAAATTTAAAAATTTACAAACTTAAGCGATTTTAAAATGAAAAATATATGTAAGTACTTGTTTACTTAATTAATTTAGTTAATTCCAATGATTTGAAAGGTACTCGGCTGAAAAAACTGTATTCGTAATCCGAATACAATCTCAACCAGAGTCGATATAGGAAACCCGACAGTTACTACTACATAGAAATTGAAACGTATGTTGAAGAAAGTCGGACTAATAAGAAATATACATGTAGATCCTGTTTTTTGGCTCTCTGAAATTAGGAATTCTTTAAAATTTCCCTACAATTTAGAATACTCTGAAAAAATGGTTTGCAGGGTAAGTTCTCATCAAATTTTTTTTTCTAATACACTAAACCACAGCGGTCGACACATATGTGTACATAGTGCTTGAAAATATCAATTTTTCCCTTACCTCAAACCTTTAAGCGTGGGCAACAATTATGTTTTTTAGTTAAGGCAGAATTGAATATGCGCTACCTGTTATATTTATTCTATGTGTTAGCACTATATCCAAACACAAACGCGTATTAAGCAAACAATGAAACAATTTGTTATTTTCTAAGTTTGCGAATAAAACTTCACACTTAAATTAAAGACATTCATGACAAATATTTTTTGAGGAAAATCCCCGCTACGGCCTTCTTTAGAAAATATATATTCGATTAAAATAAAAATAACCCTGCCTGACATGAAAATGTTCTCCGCGATAAGGCTAGCAGCCATTTCTAACAGATTTTGGATCGCTTAGTCAAAAATGGAAACATATATAGTTGAGTTTTAAGAAACCAAGGCAGATAGCAAGCCCGGCTAAAAACGGCTATTTTTTTTTTACAAAACGGCTAACAAATCGGCTGCCGGCCAAACCGAAATTTTTCCGGCGCAAATGTTGATCAATTAATTGGTAAAAAAAATGATTTTTTTCCTAAATCAATAGCATATTTTTAATATAATTTTNGTATATCGGTAACCGTTCTACCAATTTGTACCAAACTCGGTGTGGTTATTGTGCTTGCCACATATAAGCAAAACGTTGAAAATTATTGAAATCGGACTAAAATAACGGCCGCTTCTCATATAACGGTAAATTTCAGAAATGCTTGAAACTTCAATATTTCGAAATTGAAGGACGCTAATTTACTCAAAATTGATACACCCCGGCTTACCATCTAGCGGAAGGTTTCGGAAAGGTGAAAAAACATATATTTAATACTTGCGCCGGGTATTTAATGTTCGGCTTCGCCCGAACTTAGACTTTCTTACTTGTTTTTTTTTTTATGTATAACATACATAACTTTGGACCACGTCAACCGATTTCGATAATTCTTTTTGCGTCGGAAAGGTAGTGTCTCAGAGGTGGTCCCATACTAATCTGGTTAAGATCCGATCAGCGGATCATGAGATATATATATATATATATTTTTTTATATGGGAGTTGAAGTCGGTTTTTTTTTGCTAAAAATTACTAGTTAATACCACACTTGCAAAATATTTATTGCCTACTGACACCAGGAATCAGTTTTTTCTCTCCTGAAAAGTTATTAAAAAACACACAACTGTATTTGTTGGCGCAGCGACGATATAAATTCAGATCTCAAACTTTGTACAAAAATTAGAAAAATTCTGCTTATTTTCACCAAAATTTCAAACTTTTTAATCAGAATTTTGGTATGCAGTTTTGTAGACCATTTAATTATAGTAAAATGAAGAGCAAATTTCAAGGTGCTATAAAATACTGTTAATTTTTGGAAATTTTTTTGCTAGCAGTGTCCTCCATATAAAAAAAATTGTCGAACATAATTTTGTATGGAAAAAACGTGAAACACCTTCAACCAAAAAGATTCATTTTTGTGAGCTATCTGCAAATGTTTTTTGATGTTGGCTGTCGCTTGACCTGAACATATGAAAAGAGATTCCAAAGAATCGGCAAACAAAGGCCGATGCCGATGTCGATGCTCAATTTTGTGCCGATTCTACATGATGCCGATTAATCCGTCGGACTCTCCAAATAAATGTGTCAATTCATAACGGGCAAATAATTTAATTAATTGGCTTGTTATGCAACATTACATACATATGGTTGTACGTGTAAAAATATATATACGTATAGCACATTTATGTACATTACATAAAACACTTTTTTATATGGTGCTAAGGAAGAAATATGTATTGTATTTAGGAACATAAAATTTAATTTCGTTTTGTACTAAAATACACTATTTTGCACTCAATGCATAAGAACTTATATGCTAGGTATGTATGTGTATACTAGGGTTGTTGCGAATATTCGCATTCGCAACCGCGGAGCTTCCGCATTAATTTTGACATTCGTATTCGCTTTCGCATTCGCAATAATCAATGCGGTGCTTTTGCCGCACAAAGGGCTCAAAAGTCAGATTTATCGACTTGGATAAAAGTGTCTTTAACCCTATTATCTTTCAAGCTATATAACCGAGCTATCAATGGGCACACAGTGGTCCTCAAGCATCGTTAGGTATTATTAAAATGTAGCCAAGCACAGCCTTCAGGAAGCTATTCCAAATTACTCCCAGATTTCACAATTTCAAGGTTTGAAATCGTAGCTGCTCGCTTCGATTGGGGCATATCTCAATGAAATTGTGCCGGAGTCAGATAACTAGACAGAGTATCAAATACTGGATACAAGTTCGAGAATGAAAAATGTAGCCACAGGAAACATCCTGAAAGTTGTTCTCAACCGATACTAGATTCCGAACTTTCATGGCACGATTGGCATATATGCATCTCAGGACTGTTGCTAGCAAATATGCATCCGAGAAGATCTCCAACTGAAGAAAATATCAAACCACAAGCTACAACTTTGCGGATAAGAATTAAACTTTTCAATGCCCGTTATAGTATTCTTTTTCTGGCCTACCCATCCGGTTGGCAGTAATCCGCATCCGCGAATGTCTAAAATTCCACATTCACAAAATCCCTACTATGTACATTAGGATGGGCCAAAAATGTATGTGAAAAAGTGAAGTTATATCCTTATTTTTTTACTTTGAAATCAAAAAATATTTAGAGGTCGCTCAAAGCGCCCAAAGTTTTCCATGTATTTTTATATGGGAAAAATTAAATTTTTCGTTGAAATGGTATAGAATAGTTAAAAATAAATATTTTTCTACCAGAAACCTCTGTTTATCTGCAGGAGATTCCCAGTAATAATATCCCATTGTTTATTTAACAATTTTTTCAACGCAACTATAATTTACAGGTCCGCCAAAAACCGACAAAAATCCCGAAAAATGCAATGGGGCGACCAATAAAAAATCGTTAGTATTAAAAAATGGTTAAATAAACAATTGGGTATTGTTATTGGAAGTCTTCTGAAGAGCACCAGAGTTTTCCGATCGAAAAATATTGATGTTCAAGAACTCTATACCAATTTCAACGAAAAATTTAATTTTTCCCATATAAAAATACATGGAAAACTTTGAGCGCTGCGAGCGACCTCTAAATATTTTTTGATTTCAAAATAAAAAATTGGGGTATACGTTTTTTCAATAAACAACAATCCTAGGGGGTGAGAGCATTACAATGCCGGTTCTGGCATTTGGCATTTGTATTTTGTTTATTTAATATTATCTGCATATGTAAAAATGGTGTGACAAATGTATAGTAATTTATCAATTGAGAACGGCTGGGCCGACTTGGCCTAAAACATTTTTTTTTTCGTTGTTCCTTATTGCTAAGAAAAAGTTTCTACGAAAGAAAATTTTGGTAAAACCCTCCGGACAAGTCGGGAAAATCGAAAATTAATTTTTTTTTTGTGGAATTTTGTGTGCCATCGTTTCGGGCTGGCTTTTCGAATGGAAAAATAGAAAATTCTTAGTGGAAACCTCGGAAAATTCTGGAAGAACACGAAAAATTTGAATTTTTTCGACGAAATTTTGCATTTTGTCGCATAATTGGATGATTTTGGACGATGTAAAGGTGGAGAATTCGTTGTGATGCTAGGAAAATTTCAGATAATTGTGAAATTCAAGTTCTCTAATGCATATACTAGTAACAATCCTGAGATGAAAATTCGGAATCTAGGGTCGATTGAGAAAAACTTTCAGGATATTTCCTACTGATTTGTATTTGATACTCAGTCTAGTTATCTGACTCCGGCACAATTTCATTGAGATATACCCCAATCGAAAAGGGCTAGCAGCTACAATTTCAAACCTTGGAATTTTAAGATCTGGGAGTAATTTGGAATAGCTTCCTGAAGGATGTGCTTGGCTACATTTTAATAATACCTGACGATGCTTGAGGACCACTGTGTGCCCATTGATAGCTCGGTTATATAGCTTGAGAAATAATAGGTTTAAAGACACTTTTATCAAAGTCGATAAATCTGACTTTTGATCAGATTTATTACACAAATACTCCTTTGTGCGGCAAAAAATATTGGCTTAAATTTGTAATTTTGTTTGCTAAATATACATTCGCATTCGCGCGATGTACGGCACTTCTCAACCGACGATGTAGATCACGTTCGTATAAACTTACGTACATACATATGTATGTACATATTTACATTCTCCGGAAAATTTGTTTATTAATTTTGTTTACGACACTTTTTTACAAAAACCAGCTTGATTTCTTTACTTTTTGTCAATTAATTACGGTTTTTACAAGTGCTGCCACAATATAGTTAGCCGAGTTGGAGCGTTCTTATGTAGCTCGTTTACAAAAGATGAGGGCTGGTTTCTTTTTTATCAAAATTATATAATTCTTCCAAAAACAAGTACCACGAAGAATTACAAGGCAAAGACACAACAGAAAACTATCCCAAAGTGGACCATCCATTCTTCGCAACTTTGGTATATATGTACGTACAAATATTTATTTTTAATATATATACTCGATGTAAATAAGCTGGTTACAATTAAATAACTGAAGAAAAAACTACCATGCAGTATTATGAACACCTTTTTGTGGAACTTCGCTAATTTTTTAAAGATGATTGAATTCTTCGCCTTTTCCCACTGATTAAAAAATACATCTATGTGGGTGGCAGTATCAAATTTTAGAAAACAGCTAATTACAAAACCTTTAATAATTGAATCATGTGTACATATGTATGTATATCTGATACGTCGCCACGAATAAAATCCGGATAGTATGGATATCCGGTTAATATTCATTTGTGCAATTATTCGGATAACCGGGTTTGGTTTACGAAGATCCGGGTAATATTCATATTTTCGGATATCTAAACAAAAACAACAAAGTGATTATAATATTTGTAAATTCAATTATGCACACGATAGAGTAAATTAGCTCTTGACGGACTTGAAGTTGACGCTTTGGTTTGTATCGTTTTGTCACAATACAAACAAATGGCACTATTATTGTCATCCTTTTTTCAAACTATTTTTTCAGAGTAAATATTCTGAATTATAGAGAAATTTTACAGAATTCGTAAAGATCTCATCCGATTTTTCGGCGAATTTTCTAAAATGAAATAAAATATGCATACTTCATTTCTTTTACGAAATTACGGAAGAAAATCTGTAAAGAAATCAAAATAATTCTGCTATGTGAAAAATTTATTGCAGATTTTTTTCACAGTTTTCTTTATTCTTCTTTGAAGATTCGTAAAAAAAACATTTAAAGAAATGAGAAACTCCTAAAGCTTTCGTTAAGATTTCGGGAACTTTGGTTTGCAAGGAAGTAGCAAGTCTTCTATACGCATAAATATGTTTGTTGAACTTTTTAATTCGTTTATAGAAGCCTTGGAAACTCCAAAGAAGAATTTTGGAAATTGAAAAATTTATACACACAATTTCGTGCGTAGAAATAGAAAACTTGTTACTACACATTTATGAGCGCCTAGTATTGTGAAATGAAAGTATCGTTTTCATAACGAAAAATCCTGATGTTCGGATAGCCGAATATTATCCTAGTTTCCAGAGTAACCGGATTTTTCATTTAGGTATCCGCATATTTGAATATTCGGTTTTCCGGATAGTTGAAAAATCCGGATGAAGTTCCCAGTCCTCATAAAAATCATAAAATAACGATTAAAGATGATCAAAAAAATAAAAATCACACTATAACGATTAAAAATTATCGAAAAAATAAAAGTCATAAAATAACGATTGAAGATGATCAAACAAATAAAAATCACAAAATAACGATTAAAAGTTATCGAAAAAATAAAAATCATAAAATAACGATAAAAAATTACCGAAAAAATAAAAATCACAAAATAACGATTAATTTATGATTTTTGTTATTAACACCGTTTACCCGTTAAACAAGCTACTGCAAAATGAGGTAAAATTCCTTCTTGAAGAACGCTGTTGGAAGGCATTTGCGGAAGCAAAGGAGCAAATGCAGTCCAGTTTGTGTTTGACGCACTATGACCCCAAGTTGCCCGTGGTGTTGGCAGTAGATGCCAGTCCTGTGGGCGTAGGTGCGGTGCTTAGTCGTGTTTATGAGGACGGCTCCGAAAGGCCGTTACAATTCGCGTCACAAACCCTAACAAAAACGCAGCAGAAATATAGGCAAATTGACAAGGAGGCATATGCTATTATTTTCGGTGTTCGGAAATTGGTGACGGACAATAAACCGATTTCACAAATATTTTCACCGCAGAAGGACTTGCCATTGTTGTCAGCCACAGGAATGCAGTATTACGCTATTTTTCTGGCACATTTTGATTTTGAGATCCAGTTGAAAAAGTCCAATGATAATGCTAATGCGGATGCGATGTCGCGGTTACCTATTTGCCAGAGGTGTTAAAGAATGCAGTCTTCGTGACTTTAAATCGTTGACTATCACATTTTAACTGCAGCCAATCAATCACATGTTTGACTAAAGACTGCAAAGTGGGAGTCATTAGTCTTTTCCGGTATTCATGACTAATTAGTCATTTTTGCAGCCTGAGGTGAATAATGATAATCTAAAGCAATCTTTGCGTTCACTTCTTCATAGAATTATAACACTAATTTATTTAGAAAATAAATGGGTACATAAAAAGCTTAATTAAAACTCCAGTAGTATATAAAATATATAGAAAATGTCAATGAATTCCAGTAACTTCCAATGAAATAAATTTATATTTATTATATGTATGTACATAATATGTACGTACATTTTATGTAAATGAAAAATTAAAGTGCATAGAAGGATTTTCGTTTAAAATATTACGCTTACGCCTTCCGCATTCACATAAGGTAAAAGTTGGATCAACCACGAAATCTTCGGACGAAAAATCACTTAATATGGAAGACATTTTTCATATACTAATGTAAGTATTTTCTTTTTGTAAAATAAAAACGGTTTAAATGGAAACTAGTCTGTTCTGCTTGAATATTTTATTGAAAATGAAAAAATCTTAACATATGTAAGTCAATTCAATACATACAAAATATCATTTACTACTTATGTATGCGCGAATCATATTGCTACAGTTGGGATGTAGATCAGTATAAAACCTAACAAACTCCACCTCAGTCCAAATGTAATTTGGACATTCTAAACGAAAGACTTCGGCCGCTGTTGTGTAGTGGTAAGCAGTGCGCGCTTTCACTCATCAGCACCTGGATTCAAGCCCTGGTCAAAGCAACATCGCAAAAAATATAGAAAAAGGTTTTTCTTAACAGCGGTTGTCCCTCGGCAGGCAATGGCAAACCTCTGAGTGTATATCTGCCATGAAAAACAGCTTCTCATAAAAATACAATCGCCGTTCGGAGTCGGCGTAAAACTGTAGGTCCCTCCGATTTGTGTGAGAACATCACGACGCACGCCACAAGTCGGAGGAGAGGCTCGGCCAAACACTAACATATGTGTAAGCGCCAATCGAATATTATTATTAAACGAAAGACTTACCACACGAACTTTTCTTGCACAGAAAGTGAAACATTTTTCCAGAAATGGACAGTGCACCCTAACAATAAACGATCTTAAAGTTGAAATGATCAAGATTCTTTCTGGCTTCAATTAAAAGCCAGGGTTTTCAATGATACGACCTATCATCTCAACATGCGGACGTCTCTCTCATTCTTAGCATTAAATTATTACCTGGTATTTCTACAAACGTAATCGCTTACGGGCCACATCCATGACATGTAGGACCGAATCGAAAAAGTTACCAAATTGAAAAATAAATTACCAAGTTTAATAAATGAAGAAAAAAATTACCAATTTTGCTTAAAAATTACCAAAGCAGCAACGCTGAGGGAAACTTTCACACGACAGCCGGTTCTACGTACCGGAATGACTCGGGTTTTATCCGACCAAGGGCTGTTGTTTCGGCGATCTAACCCTGTTTAGGTCGGCGAAGTATCTCAGAAGTTGTTCGTCCATAGGGCTCCATTTGCTAGGAATTCTTCTGCCCAGGGCTGGTATCGAATCAAACCCAGGGCCAGAAATCTACACCTGCTGTGTATGCCAGAGACTACTACACCACAACTGCACCTCAGTCAAGAGCATTGCTTGCGACAGGTGGAGTCACCTCAGAGTCTGCTCAGGACTACGGACCAACGGCAGTGGACCACATCATTTGTAGCCACCTGTTGCTCAAACAGAGCAGCCTCCACGGCTAACCCCAGTCCACCTGACCACCCACACACCTCGTCCACCAACTCCTGGTTCCTCCTACAATCTGCACGGTATTGCAGACGATATTCCGTAACCTCACACCCCGCATAACAACACGTCTCCCGAACCACATGAAGCTCCTTCAATTTAAATGTAACGGACTTCAGAGCGAGATCGAAGAGATAACCGTATTCATGGGAAGGCATAGTATATTGATAGCTGCGGTCCAAGAGACGAAGTTGCACAGCAATTCAACATTGTCGCAATTCAACCGTCGAGATCGCGAGCGAGATAATGGTGATGGCTTAGCGTTAATCACGCACCACACCGTGCAGTATCGTCTTATTGAAGCAGACATCGACCGCAGGGATACCACCCTAGAATGTTAGGGCATTGCTATCCGGTCAGGCGATATTGAGCTCGAAATATTTAACGTGTACATACCCCCTGTCACTTGCTGCCTGGCAGGATATCACCCTGATATAGGTGCGCTCCTCAGAGGTGAAAACCGTATGGTAGTAGGTGACTTTAATGCGCACCACGATCTTTGGCACTCAAGTCTGTCAAACGATCGTAGGGGAACAGACTTGGCTGAGCAGATAGACGATTCGACATTCTGCACAATGAACGACGACGGACCCACCAGGATTATGGGCAGCTGCTGCAGCTCGCCAGACATAACAATAGTCAGCGCTGGTCTGATAAACAGCCTATCTTGGCAACCTATGCTGACTTTGGCATCAAACCATCTGCCCATAGTCATCTCGATCGATAAACCAACCGACTTTGCTTCCGCGGAGCACCGAACCTATATCAACTTCTCTAAAGCTAATTGGAAAGGCTTCGCAGAATTTACTGAAAACACCTTCATTGCTCTCCCCACACCAACCGACGTCCACCTTGGTGAACGTAAGTCCGCAGGGCTGTCACCGCTGCTGCAGCTCGCTTCGTACTGGCAGGATGCATTACAGACCCACGTCCAAATTTCCCTGCCGAAGCGACTGTTCTAGCCGATGAGCGTGACAGCCTTCGTCAGGCCGATCCCGGAGATCTCCGTATCAAGGATCTCAACGCGGAGATTCGGCAACTAGTGGACGTATATAAGCGAAAGAAGTGGGAAGAGCATCTGAAGACCTGTAACTTCACCTCTGGTGTGAGTAAGCTTTGGTCAACGGTGAGGTCACCGTCCAATCCGACGAAGCACGACGACAGAGTCGAAATTTCTTTCGGCGACCATATTTCGTCGGACCCGGAGCGATGCACGAGCTACTTTAGCCGGCAGTTCATACTGCATCCTCGGTGGACAAAGCCAAGCGTCGAGTGACCAGAAGGCTGCACAAACTGCCAACAACTTGTGCCCCCCTTGCTTTCACTAGCGGTGAAGTTCAGGTGGCCATCGGGAAGGCGAAATCCTCCAAAGCCATGGGTCCCGACGGAATATGCATGTTGATGCTGAAAAATTTGGGTCCTGCGGGAGTAGCGTACCTAACGGAGGTCCTCAATTTGTCAATGGCCACTCTCATCATCCCAGACATCTGGAAGGTGGGGAGAGTGGTCCCACTGCTCAAACTGGGGAAACCCGCCAACAAAGGAGATTCGTATTGACCGATAACACTCTTTCCCTGGTAGCGAAGACACTTGAGGCCCTGACCCCAGCGAAGCATCAGCATAGTTTCCATAAAGTGCGCAGTACAACAACAGCACTTTACGCCATAAATACTCAGATAACTCGTGGCCTTAACCGTAACCGTCCCTGTGATAGAACGATTCTAGTAGCGTTGGACCTGTCAAAGGCATTTGACACTGTCAGCCATTCCACGCTACTAGAAGATATAGAGGATTCCTCTCTCCCACAGAGGCTCAAACGGTGGTCGGCAAATTATCTGAGTGGTCGACACTCGTCGGTAATGTTTAGAGACAAATCGAGCAAACTTAGGAAAATAAAACAGGGGGTTCCACAGGGTTGTGTACTTTCCCCGCTACTGTTCAACTTTTATATTTCAAAGCTTCCTTAACCACCAGAGGGAGTCTCGATTGTCTCTTACGCCGACGATTGCTCGATCATGGCGACTGGGAATGGAATTGATGACCTGTGTTCGAAAGTAAACGTGTATCTCTCCGATCTTTCTCGCTTCTTACTGCAAAGTGTCTAGCCCTCTCCCCTACGAAATCCTCTGCGACCATGTTCACCACCTGGACGAAGGAAGTCAGGGAATTCACGTCGATTATACACCAATTCCGACGGTGAATAACTCCAAAATCCGCTACCGCTATTGTCAATAAAGTACAGAGGGCAACTGCTCGCGGAAGAGCCCTCGCCATGGCACGTCAGGAGGCATCTTTACGAACTGATAGACGAAGTCCAGAGGTATATTAAACAACCTCTGGACCCGTCAACCTACGGACAGGCCCTGAACGGCATTCACAGGGAATCAGTCTCAAGTTATGTAAACTCCCGCCCGGTGAATGGCGTTCTAGGCACACAACCACCGGACGTGGACGGGACAGAACATTGTCTGCCGCGGGAGACCCGCACCTCAATAGCCCAGCTTCGCTCTGGCTATTGCAGCAGACTCAACAGCTACCTGAGCAGAATCAACGAGGATGTGCACAACCAATTCCCGGCATGTGGAGAGTCGCCACATGACTCCCGGCACCTCTTCACATGCCTTGAGAATCCCACTCAGCTAACGCCCCTGTCCCTATGGACAGCCCCTCTGGAAGTAGCACACTTCCTGGGCCTCCCCCTAGCTGAAATAGACGACAACGATGATGGATGAACCGCCCCGAACGGGGCTTAGTAGCCGCTACAACAACAACAACAACAACATAAAGTACAGAGCCGCACCAAGGTCCTCAAGTCGCTAGCCGGCAGTACTTGGGGCAAAGACGAAGAAACGTTGCTGGCAACATACAAGGCAATAGGCCGGCCGGTTTTAAATTACGCAGCGCCAGTGAGGTCGCCGGGGACTAGTAGGACGTAGTGGACGAAGCTACAGACTGTACAGAACACCGCACTCAGGACAGCGACAGGATGCCTCCTGATGTCGCCCGAACATCACCTCCACAACGAGGCCCAAATGCTCCCCATAAAGGAGCACAACATAATGCTATTCAACCAGTTTCTAATAGGGAGCCACAGGAGTGGCCTCCCAAACAGACAGCTGCTTGCAGAGGAGCCCTCGCCTAGGCACGTCAGGAGGCATCTATATGAACTGACGGACGAAGTCCAGAGGTTCATCAAGCAAACCCGACAACCCTAACGGCTTTGTCCTAGTGGACCGACCCGATAGAGGCTGCACGCTTCCTAGGGCTGCCGTTAGTGGAACTTGACGACAACGACTGAGATATCAACCGATCTGGGCGCGGTTGTTGTAGCCGCTACAACAACAACAACATGTGTTGCCATACTGTACAAAACAATACAATAGAAAGAATTCTACATAGTGAGGGTTATAATTCCTAAGTGCGGCCGCAGGCCGCCCTCACAGAAAGGTGTCCCGCCCCCTTTTTTCAGCAACACAGAAAGGAACATTCTACGTTGTGAGGGTTATAATCTCTAAGTGAGGCCGAAAGCCGCCTACGCAGAAAGGTGATCTCTGCAAATAGTGTGCAGCCCACTTCTTTGGCAATACAGAAAGGAGAATTCTACTTAGTGAGGATTATAATCCCTAAGTGCGGCAGAAGGCCTCCTACGCAGAAGGGAGTTCTCTGCAAAAGGTGTCCAGCACTTCTTCTTCGGCAATACATAAAGGAGAATTCTACTAAGTGCAAGTTCCGAATTAAAAATCTGCTTTTAATATTCAAAATTCCAGTCTGGCAGCACCAAGTTTGATGTTATATTGCTATCTTATTCATCGTTTATACGAAAATTTTAACAGCAAATTATATAAAAACTATAGGGTTGCTAGACAAAGGGGGTATTTTTGAAATCAGGGAGACCTATTCTAACCCCCCTCATCCACACTTTTTCACTTTCTTGCCGTCCGCATACTAAAATTTTCCCTGTTACTGTTATTCCATTCTGCGTACTTAACGTGCGCTAAAGATCAAATTCTCGGAGCAAGGCATATTAATTATTAACGTGCCTTGACTTGGAGAAATTTCATGAGGAGATTTCTTTCGAGTTTGCACAAGCCGTTATTTATTTTCCGATTTGATGAATTCTTTATTGTTGTTGTAGTATTATCATATAAATTCGCCAAACATTTTTGCGGTTTTGCTGGAGTTACAGACCTGGACCAGATATAACATGGATATCCATGAGATATAAATCTGGGTTGTTCCGGTTGCGTAGACCCGACTGTCGTGAGAACGAACAAATGTATGAAGTAATCATGTTCGCATGCCACTTTTACTGCAAGTTTCAGGAACTTCACCTTATCTAGAAGATATTTGCTTACATTCATTTTAAAAATTATATTAGGTCTCACCCAAGTGTTCATCCAAACACTTTTAATTGCGCCCTACGTATACATACATCTGCGTAATGTGTAAAGTTTTTCTTATAAGTAAACGTTGCATGGTTTATAACTTAATAAATGCATTATAAGTCTTTAAATAAATATATTCGCTTCCCAAACTACCCCTCTGTCTAAAAAGTATTCGCGATAAGACAAATAAACAACATTACGAAATTTAAAAAAAAGCTTTGCTTCTTAACAGATAATTATCACAAAATATCACTAATTTCTGCTGGAAATAGGAATGCAAACGATGCATCGATGTTTTTGAAACATCGATAAAATCGGTTCAATTTTCGATGTTTGCCATCGGTGTTTACAATTTAAGGTCTGTGCCAATCAGTAGAAAAATTCTATGGTGAAAAAACTTTTTACTATGGTGAGAAAAAATTACATTTCTGCTGCCAATTCGTAACTTTTTACTGCTGGAAATTTTTGACAGTTGCTTTCATGCAGAAGAAGGCTATCGGGTTAGCAATCAATAGAATGCAGCAATTATGGAGAAAAT